AGCCATGTTGTCACAGAATGGGTAAGGTTGGAAGGGGCCTCTAGAGATCATGCAGTCCACCCCCCTGCTCCAGCAGGGACACCCARAGCACGGGSCACAGGGCTGCATCCRGGCGAGTCTGGAAGACCTCCAGAGGCGCCTCCTCAGCCTCCCTGGTGCTCAAGTACACAGCTTGGACCAGCAACCTGCATGCATGTGACCAGCCTCTTTCATTCCCCCTTCTCACTCCATGCTTGTTTTTCCCATGCTTGTTCCTTCCCAATCCSCTCAACTCTTCCCTTTCCCTGTTTTGGACCTGCTGCCCAGGAGTGTCACAACAAGTGTCACACAAGCCCCCAATTCCCTTCCCCTTTCATTCCACATTAATTCCCACAACGCTGTATGCAGACACTGGCTGTCCTTCCCAGGGCTCCAGGGAGGGCTCCCCATCCCTGACCTGCCTCAGGGGACTTCCCAGCAGCCCCACGGGCCGCATGGACCTAGAGGGAACGAAACTGCTCTGCTCTCAGTCACTTTGCTCCCTATCCCCACTGCTTCTCGCAGTCTGCCTGCTTGTCTTTGGCTAGCTCGTAGCCTGGCATCTTTCTCTTATTAGGTAGCCTGGCATCTTTCCTACCATTATGGCAGGACACTTTAAAAAGTCCAAGCACACTGTATYTAGGGTTGTCTTTTAAACCAAACTCCTCTCTCAATTAGTTCCATGATAATTCAGCCAGAATAATCAGACTGAAATAACTCTGCACCTTAACTTTTCTTACTTCTGTATCAGCCTGTTGCTTTCTTTTCCTGCTATAAAAGTTAGGGGAATCAGTTTCCCTAATAATTCCAGAACCCCAAAACCAAAGAGTGGCCAGTCAACATGTTAGCAAGTACTTTACCATTCTCATGTATTATAACCACATTCTTAAGTGGACAGTAAACAATAATCTGGCAAATACTTTATYATCCTAATGTACTATGAGTAAATTCTTCTGTTTCACCACTGCAAAACATCAGGGAGAAATGTTTAATAAATATTTACGTATCACTAGCTGCTCATGCTTATGACCATTAGCTGTATTAGTTTTTCGCATCAAAAAGTTTTTAYGTTTTTTCGTGGTATTTGAAATTATCTTTTTTTTAAATGTATTTTTTAAAGCATCTTTTCGTGTCCTCTTTCGATGGCTACGAGCTTGAGTGACAAACGTCCCCCAAGGAATTTAAGCATTTTCTACCCCAAGCACAGAGAAATAAAACAGAAAACATGCAAAGACAACTATTGCTTTGCTCATGATCCATTAAATACCTGTATTATTTCCAGAAAACAAAGGAAGTCTATTATTCAAAACAAGATGAGATTCTTCTTTAGGAATGCTTTGAGCTATATCATTTAAATGCCCGTTCTTAGAATACGTAAACTAACTACTTTTGTTACTGCCATCACACCGACTGTAAATTGAGCGTATTCTATTACTTCAGGATGAAAAAAACCTTTCAGCCGATGTACTAGAAATAAAAAGGAGTTCTGTGTGAAAGAAAAACTGGCTCAGCCAGCTCGGGAAGGCAAGGAAAACGAACGGGATGCAGTCACAGCTGACTAGGGAAAGCTCTGACCAACTCCAAGCAYGCAAAGGAACAACTAATAGCAAAGGAAGAAACAGTGAAAGAAAAAGCTGAAGAGCAGCTGTTAAAAATACAGCTTTTGTAAAAACCTGCAAGTTTAAAAAAAAAAAAGAAAAAAAAAAGGACTTGGTTATTGGTCAAACTACAGATTTTCTTCATTTTCTATTAGAGAAACAGTCTCTTTCAACAAGAAGCTTTTTTTAAAAAGCAATTTACTTCCTTGAATTTTGTGTAGAGAAAATCTAAAATTGTTTTCCTTGCAAGAGTCTTCCTTGTACTACTATTCCTGCTGTCTGCCCTAAAGAAGCACTTACTAGCTTTCATAGAGCTGATTACCTCTGACTGTGTGTTTCTACTCACATTTTCATCTTTCCAAGGCTGGTACTTCTGTTGCYTGTAAACAAGCCTGGCTTTGACTGGACACCTCAGCTATCGCTGCCCCCAACTTCCACATTGTGAAGAGCTGTGTGCTTCATGTTCCTAGCAGTTACCTTGCAACACATGTTCCAAATAACTGTATGCGTAAGGTTATTTTTAGCTAAGGACTAAGAAAACTTTAGGTCTAGAATTGTGGAGACAAGGGCATTGCCTGGAAGAGAAGTGTTGGGAGTGCTGGAGATTTTAAAAGTTGAGTCTCTGTCAGCTCAAGAAAAGATATTTACAGGAGATCCGGAGCTGAATGCCAGGAGAAACCGGCAAAATAATCTGACAAGGATTTCTACTTTTATTCTTTTAGTATCCTTTTGTTTATTGTAGGAGAATCAGGAATTCAAGAGCTTTATTCCTTATATTCTATTTCACTGTCTGTCCTTAAACAGAAGGATTAACTCCCTATTTTATTTAGAAATGTATATATATGTGTGTGTTTGTGTATATATATATATGATTTGAGAATCTTGAAAAGCAGACAATCCACTTGCTCCAACAGCACAATTTGTCCGTAACAGCCACTAATGAGCCTTTCAACTCATTCACAACTTCCCATTCAAATTTGCATACAGAAGTTCTCTGCGCTACTAGATACCCAGCTTTCAGTCACTAATTTATAATATGCAAATAAAATTTCAATGCAAACTAAGATGAGTCATTCTTGGCAGATGTCCTCTTAAAGTCAATGCTGCCTCAAGTCTAAAATGGCCTCGAGTTCACCCATCTTTTATTTTCATCTTCCTGAATTGTGCTACTATATTTTACCTCTTCTAATAAAGACAATCTCCCAAATCTTACTTTTCCAAGCCTTTGTAAAATACTTAGTTAATAAAGGCTCTAAATCTCTCATAAAATGCAACTATAACATCCGTTCCCCATCTCCTCTCCCTAGGAAATTCAAAACTAAATGTAAAGATTCTAGTTGCATGCTCCAATGTACGGGTCTGTGTATGCTGAACACAGAGCATTCCAATTCTTACACAAGTTTCCCTGGAAGAAATGGAAACATGCTGACAGCAGCTCTGTGGAGTCTGCGTTTGTGTTCAGTTACTTCACAGCAAGTGCCAAAYGTTACCTTTGCAGACATATGAAATATCAGTGAGCCAACTAAACCTTAGGTGTGGATTTAGTTGATGGCTACCAAGCTTGCTGTGAGACACATTTATCACCTGATAAATCACACTGCTTAATAATAATTAATTGCTTAATAATCACATTGCTTCACTTTGCTCATTAGATTCAGAACAATCAAAATAAAAAGCTCTGTAACTGCCAGTAGGTTGGTGACAATGGCATTTTTCTTTAATTCTGCAGATCTAATTTGAAGCATGGCACTGCTGGCTATTCCCAAGAAAACACTGACCACCGGGCTAGAATCAACCTGTAGCTGACACAGGAAGATCTTGTTATGATAGAAATTACCCAGTAATTTTGTTACAGAAAGTAGAAAAGCCTGGAAAATTTGAGTCCCGGCGAGTGTGGCTGCTGCTGGCTGCCCTGCTGCGGCCTCTGCGCTGCCTTGGGGAAATGCTGCTCTGCAGAAGTCTCATAAAAACGGCTACCTGCAAAAACTGCTCTAAAGGAAGTCAGGATTATTCAGTGCAAAAGCAGTTTCAGAAAGCTCACCCAGGCTAAATCAGCTAAAAGGTGAATTTCTGTCCTTTTTGCTCAGAGCACATTCATCAGCAAAGTACTTTTTATACTGTAAGTACATTTAAACATTAATGCAGTATTGGAAGAAGCCATTTTACTGAATTAATGTTTATAAGTTTCCAGCAAAATTTGAAAATGCAGAAGAAACAGGGCCTGCATTCAGCTTGTTAAAGGCTAAAGATGACCCATTAGTCACTACTGAAAGGGCTTTTTTGCAGATGCRGAAGCAGACTAGGAGGTTCTGGGATGCAGAGACCTGTTGACRAGAAGTGAGGGCCACCGTTATCTTTCAGGAAGCACATTCCTGTTTCAAGACCAAACGAACTTAAAGTCACTAAGTCACAGAAGGGAAGACACTAATAATTTAAGGCTCATATGACTTCTTACCAAGAGAYTGCCCCTCCTCTAGACAGTCTCTAACTGGACATAAGGTCTGTCATTATCAGTCAAAAAAAAATATTCATGTCTTTAAACATCTCCCTGAAGCAGAATAATACCACAGAGGTAGCAATGTACAATTCTGTATCCATAAAAACAGGCTTTCCATGTCCCTACTTTTCCCTGCTGGTATTCTTCAAAGGAAACGAAAGCATTTCAGATCTATGCATCTTTCCCTTAGATCTAGAAGGTGACCAGGATTAACACATGCCAAGCTTAATGGGTTTGTCTGAAAATCCTCTCTGTAGGCCATTCCCCAAGACTGCTCCCTTGACACGGATACGCAGACTGAGGCTGCAGCATCGATCCTCCGCACAAGGAGGAGGCTCAGTCACGGGGATTACAGGAGCACAGACACCCAGAACGCTGCTCCATCGGCGATGCCCTGGCATCACTGGCCACCGCGACTCCACGGGCACTGTGACTCCATGGACACGCTACACTGCGAGGGAAAATCCATCATCTCAGATGCTTCTGTGCGCTGCTGCTTGAGACTAGACTTTCAGTACATGTTCGCATGTACGACTCACAACATAGGAAATAAATACTTTTTAAAAAGAAATTCAGAGATAACAATGGCACATCTCTAAAAATATTAATTATTTGAGGTTATGTTTTCACAAGTGTTTCATTAAACTGGTTTCCCTCTTCCCTCACATTAGGAAAAGATCCCTCATCATATGTTCAACCCCGGTGTGACAATGCAGGGGTTTGACAATCCCTGCACAATGAACCACTGGTGCAGACTACCTGCGTTATTATTCAGATATTTATATATAAACTTTAAATCTTTTTTTTTATTTTTCAAATCCTGACAGTGCCTGGTCTAATACCAGATGCAATTTTGTAATAACAGAACAAAAGCAGGCTATTCTTACCTTTTCAACAGCTAGTTGTTTTGATGGTTTTTCTGCTTCTCTCTCTCTCTTTTTCTCTTCTTTCTTTTTTTCTTTTTCCTTCTGAAAAAAAAATCAGTAGTATCAGCTAGTGATCAATAACAATACTTTTGCAAATATATTTAATACTCATAATTGTATGGAATATAAATGCAAATGTTAAGGCAGACACAAACCCTGAATTGAACTTCCTGATCACTGCAAACATGACTCATTGTGCTCCAACAGTGCTACTAGAAATACTCTGAGACTTCAGGAAAAAAAAACCTTTCACTTTCTCATTTACAGTTTTGTTTATAAACAGAAGGAAAGAAAAGACAAGATGTTGCTCTTTTTAAGCTAAGGAGATCTGAGAACACATCCATAATGGTCCAGAATTAGGAAGCAAAAGGTTCGGAAAAGGCTCTATTTGAAAAAAATGGTTGTTTGGGCAGTTTAGTTTACTGAAGGTTATTTCTCCTGTAACACTTAACTGCTCTACATCCCCTTTTGGAGAAGTCCTTCCAGGCAAATTTCACTTTTATTACTATCCCCTCACTTCACAGAATCACAGTTGGGGCTGGAAGGGGCCTCTAGAGATCACCCAGTCCAACCTCCAGGCAGGTTTGAGAGATCTCCAGGGAAGGAGACTCCACAGCTTCCCTGGGCAGCCTGTGCCAGGGCTGTCACCTTCACTGTGACAAAGTTCTTCCCCACGTGCTGCTGGAATCCATCTCCACACCAACGTTCCCTGGCATCTCCACAGCACGAGCACAGCTCCACCATGGAGCAAAGGRTCCAGAGCCGCCGGCCTTGCCTGGCCAGTGCCAGAGACACACTCCGTGCTGAATTACTTCCACTGCATCACTCATCTTTCCAGCAATCAAACCAGAATCTGTGCTGAATGTCTCTTTCAGAAACCTGGAACAACGTCCAAAAGATACGAGCATGCAGATTTTGCTAATAGTTCCTCCTGGAATCTGGAAAATGTTCAAAGAAAAGTACCAAGGCTTTTCAAGACACAGAGTGGTTTCCTATGAGAAACGGCTGTATAAACCATGATTTCAGCTCAGATGCAAAAAGGCAGCTGAAATGTGRTATTATAGATTTAGCATCTGAAAAGCTGCTGAGAGAGCAATGAGGGATTTCTTGCCATCTTCCAGGATAAGAAGAARGACTTATCAAAATAAGCTTCAAATTAAGTTCACAACAGGAGGAGCCTATTTTCTACATGTGGTGCAATTAAGTTGTGGAGCTTCTTGCCACAGCCTATTTAGACGCTTGCATGAGCTGAGGGGGCAGTCGGGCAGTTTCATGGGAGAGAAGCCGCTACAAGTACCAGACTGACAGAAACTGCCCCACGTTAGGTTATGTGCCAAGGGGCTCATCTCCCCCAGGAGCACCCTCCTCACTAGCTAGTTGCCTCATTACCTAGTTRCCTCAAGAGCTAACGAGGTTACTTGGAAGGGTTAGAATTACCCTCAAAGAGACAGCGGGACAGTCTTGTACACAGCCAAGAGGCACACGCCAGTCTTTGGGACTGCACACACGCCCTGTTCACAGAAGAGCCTGCACACAACCTCCTGCACGGCGTTACTGGCGTTTGCTGCACTGAAAAGCAATACATGAGACTGATGTTTGGAGAAGGAGTAAGAGAAGCTCCATCAGGTAACAGTGCCTGCAAACAAAGCCAACATAGTTGCTAAACACTGTGACCATGTTCTGCATTCCGAGTGAAGCAAGTGGTTCAGGAAGGTGCAGGAGTCTGCCATCTCCAAGAGAAGCGACGGGGCAGCAGCTCCCCAAGGTCCTTTCAGGCAGCCGGCTTGGCTTACCCTGCTCAAACTTTTCAGACAGCTTTCTTCCACAAACGACTGTTTTTAAGGAGTCTGCAAACGTTGAGATGGGTTACACAAGTAGCTGTGTAGCTCTTGCAGGAAAACTGAAGAGCACTTCACCAGCCTACCAATTTCTGTCAAGGAGGATTCTTCTCAAGTCTCACATGAACACCATTTCCTCTCCATGCAACAGATAACATTTTGATTAAAATAGTTCTAGCACAACCACGAAAGGTGTCTCCCCCTGCCGGGAAGGAGGGAAGGACCCCACCTTACTCAAGAACTTTAGTGATRATACAAAGTCTAACCTAATTCAGTCATTTCTTTAGGCTGAATTTTATAGCTCCTTTTGTTTATGATGGATATCATTTCTAGCAGGGGCCAGAAGTGCACAATGGTTAAAACTAGTGACTTTTCTGCTGTGTTGTCAATCTCATACTTCTGGTAAACATGTCTGGAAACCAAAAATTACATGCAGATGTGAATAAGAAAGGATACTTAAGTCCTGCTCCAAGTCACAGGACAAGTCACAAAGAAAAAAAAGTCTACTAAGCACTGAAGTGCCCTCTCTCTCAGGGAGCTCCCCCACAGCCAGTACCTGTAAGGGGGAATGGGTTTCTCACACAGCCCAGTTATGTAAGGGACACCTTGTCCCTGAAATGCAGGACTGTAGCTACATGGCCAGGATACCAGTCTACCAGAGAAGCTGCAKGAGCAGGAGGAGGAGCTGCTGGTTCCCACATCTACCTAAGGGAAAGTGTCGGGTGTCTGTCTTATAAACCATTTTGTTGGGCATCTAAGTAACTTTTTGCAAAAGCAAGCAGAGGAGATAAACTAAATGGAACTTACAAAAATATAACACCAAGCTGAGCAGAAAAGAAAATAGATAAGGTATCCCAAGACTGGTACCCAAAAACTAAAAGGCAACAGTGTGAGTAACAGCAACAAAAACAACTTTTCTCATGAAAGGACTCTGCATATATATATAGAGAGAGAGATAAGGTATCCCAAGACTACTACCCAAAAACTAAAGGGAACAAGTGTGAGAAACAGCAACAAAGGCAACTTTTCTCCTGAAAGGACTCTACACAAGGCCCAGTATGCACTGTACGTACATACTGCAGAGCTGTATGTGTGTCCTCCAGGAAGCTGCCTGTCCCCTCAGGCACTGCTCCCACGCAGGCCCTGTCCAGAAACAGCGTCACCCAACGCAGCCGCTGTGAATGAGCTGCCAGACACAGGCAGAGGAGTGACGGACCTGAGGCCACCACCAGCACAGAGGGACGGGGCACGTGCCGAGGGGCCACCCAGCCAACCCTGGGTGCCCACGGGTGCTCGTGAGCAGACAGGGAGCACACGCAGTGGCTCTGTCTGTCACCAAGTGCTGGAAAGGGCGACAAGCAGCAGCCTCACGACCGCACCGAGCGCAGCTTGCTTAGAGGGCAACRCATTCACTTTTACTTCAAGTAAAGTGGGAAAGTGATTTATCTCCTCTCGCCCTCACACTAAAGGTTAAGTGATTCTTCGAYGCAGAGCACAAGAAACCAGTCTTCTCAGTTCATTAAATTCCAGTCATTCTGTATCCATCCATAACACTTCAACAAGTGCTTTGGTGGAGGGAAATACAGAGGACTAATGTGCATCTGTCAACATTAGACCTTTGAACACGCACCACAACCGAGAATGACAGTATTTGTGGTTAATGCAGTTTAAGTTTAACATCCCAGAGATATCCTTAGCTTTCAAAATAAGAACACTTTGCTGAGCAGAAAAGGTAGTTCATACAATAAATAAGATTTAGTACTGAACACTTGCACACATGCAAATGAAACTGAAAATGCACAACAAAAACTATTCCCGCAGCAAGGTGGAAAAAACAATTCATCCTTAAAAGCCAGTACACAATGCAATCAAATCAACCAATTCAGTACTATATAAAATATTTGSGAACTGCCATTTTCATCCAAATCCTGAAACTGGAGGGAGAGTGATGGAAAGAGTTCAGATTACCGAGCTGAAATGTAAAAATGCTTGTTTCTGTGAGCTCGGTTCACCAAAATCTAGGAAACTGGAAACTGGTCAGCATCCAAAAGCTGGGTATTTGTGAAGCTTCCCTTTACGTAGTCTGAGCAGCTCTCGGTAGTTTCCTTGAGAAKCTGGAAATGAAGGGCACAGACCCTCCCACAGGAGAGCAAGGCCCGAGCAGCTTGCTCGGGTGCCAGCAGTCGGGTTACCCCAGGGAGGGAGCACATTCGGGTGCACGTTTGCAAACGGCGCCCAAGATTTCTGCATTCCCAATCCGAATGCTCTCTAATAGCTAAAACAAAGGTTTGGTCAAGTGGCAGGCTGTGCAGCAATTGAAACAAACCGTTAAGGAAAAATAACGTGTGCTATGAACTAGCTCCTCTGCAACTAGAAAAATGCTCTGTTTACATGGCATTGGTTTCAATTCCAAGCCTTAACAAAAGACAGCTGGTGGCTTCCCTGCCTGGCTGGCAGCTGYGGGACTGCAGCCCTGCCAGTCAATCCCACACTCAGGTCTCACGTGAATTCTTTACATATACCATTAGCAGGAATAAATTCTCACCTAGCTTTCAAGAAGTCAACAAAAGCAAGGCAACTTGCTTTTATTTTCAGTATTCTTATGTACTGAAAAGCCRTTAACACTGCAATTGCTATACTGGCAACATAAAATTAAATTATACATAAAGACACACACAAAATAATGCAAATATTTGATCACATACCCTCACYCAAAATGTGTATGGCACAAGTTAGTCTGAAAATGCAAAGTTAAGCGAGAATTGCATTTCCTAGCAGAACAGGAACTCTTGTCACTTATGTAGCTAAATTACCTTTAAATGGAAAAATAGCCGCTAAAAGTTCACCAAAACTAGTATGTTTTACTTGCATTACGCCATTTTACTTACAACAACAAGAAAAAAAAAAAAAAGGAGAAAAAAATGTTGTTCCATGCATCTCACAGAGCAGCCCATTTTTATTCCTCTTAGGTAAAGCATTATTTMCATATATTCAGAGATAAATAGAGGAGTATTTCAATGCAGATGAATGATGTGAATGCTCAAGTTTCTCTAGCTTTGCTAAAGATACTAGATTTGGAAAAAAAAACCAAAACAAAATATAATTTATCTTGACATTGAGTCTTCTGTTACTTTTACATTTATTTGACGAAAACTGCAAAATCATTTTGTGTACAAGACTGGGCACACATTGCCATTCCCTCAGTGAACCAGCTCTCTTTTTACCTTCAATAYACAGACCACCTCAAACGCCTTCAGAGGCTGCAGCAGCAACTGAAGTTCCTCTGAACACACAAGAGGTGTCTCCAGCTTCTAGAGCTTAACACTGTACATCTGTATCCCACCTTCCAGGTGTACTTGGAATATATATACTACTCTAGAGTATACTCCAAAGTATATAATGCTACTTTAAGCATAACAGTTGGGCTATTTATATACTCCAAAAACTCCATTTATGTTTACAAGGTCAATGTACTGCATGGACTATGCTAAACCAAGCTACTTTGTATATAGAATACTTCCACATAGCAACTCCATGCACAAAATAAAACAAAAAATGAAACAAAACCAAAACCCAGACACTGATGCTCTCTGTCAAGCCCATGTAAATGCAAACAGATAAACTTCCACAGCCCACACAGAGTCCAAATCCCTTTCAGAAGTTTAACTGACAGGATGCTAAAGCTAAACTCTGTCTACATTGATCTTGAAGCCTGTGAAGAMGACTTTCAGTTTTACCTTAAGACTCCTTTCTGGACAACAACACGGCAAAAGAATTACATAGCAAAGCTCCCGAAATAGAATGAATCCRAAGAAAGAGTCAAGGAGAGACAGGCGAGTGACCAAGAGCTGCTGCTACTGCAGCCTAACGCGGGCAAGGGGTTAAATTTACCAAGGCTGCAGCCTAGTCCGTGCGACTAATTGGGACTGTAATTACTATTTATATATAGCTGAACTAAAATAATTTCTAACATCTGGCTGCATTTTACGGTATCTAGAAGAAAAAGAACGTGACTGTACATCATAAATTGTTTTACATACTGTACACAGTCTCAAATTAGACAGTCCAAAAACAACCCCTAACACCCAGCACTCATGTTTAAAAGATGCATTTCAATTACCATTAGAAAGTCTGACATTTACTGAAAGCTTCACATGAATGATGCCTTACCTCATTTGTAATTAATTTTTCATAGGCCCTTCCAAACATTAAATGCACATTCAATATATATGTATCTATATATACACACATTCACTGAATATATATATTTATATACATATACACACACCTCTTTGCCAACTAGAAAGGATACTAAATCAGTATGAGTTAACTAGTGTGTCACCAACCTAATTCTCTATTTATATCCAGGGAGATCAAAATGCAGGGCTGGAACGCCGACACTCCGGAGGGCTGTGCTGCCATCCAGAGGGACCTGGACAGGCTGGAGAGTTGGGCAGAGAGGAACCTCATGAGGTTCAATAAGGACAAGTGCAGGGTCCTGCACCTGGGGAGGAATAACCCCAGGCACCAGBASMGAYTAGGGGTCGACCTGCTGGAAAGCACCTCCACGGAGAGGGACCTGACACCCCCACCTGAGAGGACAGGGCAAAATCACCCATGCCCATCAGCTGCGAATGAAAACAGGGTGTTGTGGCACGGTCCTCTGACACCGTACGTGTGTAGAGTCAGTTCTCCAAGAGAAAGGCATTAACCCGTGGCACGGGGTTTATCCCGCCGAGTCAGCTCTCTCATTTATGTTCCTCGAGGTGTGGAGGGACAGAAACCTTTCAAATGCCACAAGTTCTGCTAAGGACAAGCTGGGGGAACCCGGCGGGAGCCCCCCGAGCAGACTCTACCTCTGCCTTGCTCTTCTCGGCCGCAGCTTGCAGAGAGGGAGAGGATGCCAAAGGCTGAGCAGCATCAGAAGAGGAAATCTGCACAAAGGAGGAAAAAAATGAGGAGAATAAGCAAGAATAGGTGGAAAAGGAGCAGAAAAGGCAGYGAAGAAACATCGTTTTCATTCTTTCTCAAGAATTCAGGTTAAAAATTCACACTATATAGCAAAAGGACAAACTATCTCCTCTTTTTTCATTTTTTTTTCACTAGTATGATTTCTAAACGAAAACTTTTTGTAACAATGAGTGATTTATAATGAAACTCACTAGAATAGAAAATAAGAAAATGAACTTGGATAAGATCCTATCAGAGGCCTAAGACAAATAATTAGGTTTCATCCATTGTTCCGTTTTACCCAGAGTGACTACTGAAATATTAATGCCCTGAAGCAGGACGGCACCTTGTCCCCAGGGCAGGGRGGAGAGGAGAGAAAGCCTTTGTTCTTGTTCCCTGTAACCAAATACTTGCATTAAGAGCAAAGCAAAACACGGCTGGAAGTTGCACATTAATTAAAGCCCTAAGTAGCTGTTCTCCAAGCCCAGCACATGAGCGGAAGCTGAGGTTAATGGGAAGCARTGTCCTGGCGCTGGCACGAGGGTGCTGGCTGTTCTGCTGGAGATGCCAGCGCACCTGGATGGGCATCACGGCCGCCCCGGGCACCAGGACTACCCGCCAGGCGCCGGACCCACACGCCAGAGAGGCAGGTTGCTTGAGGAAACGAGCTCTCCAAATGCATTTTCACTCACCTTCTTACCCCATTTCCTGYGTAGTTGATCACTTTAATGGAAACATTATCTTTCTTTGGCCTTTGCTCCAAAAATRCAACTGAATTACATTCCCAAGCACTCGGCAGATCCACAAAGCYGTAACGCTGACATTTCTGCACTACCTTGCATCATCCCTACTATTTACAAGGAAAATTTTTAAACAGATGAAGCTGTTAGAGAGTAGGTCATTATGCTGGATCAAAATACACAATTTAGATGACACATCTTTACTTAATACTAAAAAAAAAAGTAACTTGCATTAAAAAGGAGAAAAAGCTACAAAAACCCTACCTCATGTCTAAGTGAAACATGATTTCTCACAGAAAAATCCTATCACTACCATAGCTAATATATTTGGAATATGCATCGAATATTGATATTCCGTGTATTCACAAACTCAGAAACTAAGCTTTGCCTGGCAGATGGTGCAGAGTTTCAGGAAAGGGTCAGTGTTTAAACCAGATTTAATCTGTGAATATGAAATGCAGAACCCTCAATTTTGAACTTAGTGTTTTCAAGCTCTCTRGCTATTAGAAACGTCACCAATACCTCTGCTGCAATGACAGGCAGTTCCTTACATGCAGGATTCTGCCCTACAGGAACAGAACGGTCCTTCTTCTCGGTTCAGCACACTTGCAACCAAAGATGTCAGAAAAATGGGTAACTACAGATATGAAACTGTAAGCGCTAATAACACGTTACTAAGATTTCAATAATGAAAAAATTCCTTTGCAAACTGCAACAACTAAGAAATTTAAATATACTTTCAGTTTTATAAACTTAAGAAGATTTTTGTGCTTTAATCCTTTCTTATACTTGAGATTTTAAGGAACTGAAGGTCAGTAGCTCTCACAGGTGAGCAACGGACCACAGCTACTGACCACACAGAAAGATGAGCCTAATTTCATAGGGGGCATACAGGGCAATCAGCACTCTAAGTGTTTGTATCCCATCTCCGTAACAGTTCTTCTCCATCTACATATTATCTATACAAGCCAAGGGATCATCTAACCCAAATTAAGGAAACTTTATGAAAGATGAATCACTATAATCTTGCAAACYGAGGACTGGAGAAACTGTATGCAATCTATAAGCAGTGAAATAGAGTGGAAGGCAGCGGCAGCTCAGCCCGACACGGGGCGGGATGGGCACGCACAGAAATGCCCCCAGGTAACGTTTACTTTACACAAGAGCCCTGCGTTCCCTGCGGGTAACGACCATCCAGCTTCACATAGCCCAGTATGCAGCTAAAGGCACGTGAATGAAGATCCTTATGGGGGGGGGGAGGGGGGGGGGGAGGCATTATAATGTATGAAGAGGGATTAAGTTGATATCATGAGAGCAACAGCATGACTTTGGGCTGATGGACCTTTTGGCACCATCACATCATGGTAAATGCACTGTCTGCCACGCTGCACTAGATAAGGAAATAGGAATGCTGAGAAAAACCCAGTCAAGTCAATTGGAGTGAACATTAAATAGGATTAAAAACCAGACTCTGCAGCAATCCATTATGGCCATGAGTATCAAGAGTTGATCAGCATTTCTGAAGAGTCTGGACAACAGAGGATCAGAAAAGACTGGATCTACAGTAATACAGCATTATTTCACTTCCTTGCTCTCCCTTACATGACAATGTATGTCTGYACTTTGTAATTTTTTTATGGAGACAGTGAGTATCTGAAGTACTACATGGTGGTGGTACCATCATTGCTGTGAATGATGATAAAAGCACTTGGYGCATAGACCACAGTGAAGCCACTGGGCCAAACTAACATCTCAAGTGGTAAAAGTTTAGAAGAGGCACCAACAGAAATGAAGCAGAAATTAAAGCTATCCAAACACAACACAGAATATCTAAGAATTTTACTTAGCTCCATTTGTACTAATGCATTTATGATGCTAGGTAACAAACATATCGACACTTATGACCATTAAAATCAGTTGCTAAATAGAAGTTTCATCAATGTGTAGCTGTAGTTCTTCCACAAAACTATCTCCTTGAAATAATGCAATTGCTATTTAGCTTTTTTTTTTAAAAAAAAAAGGAGTTCAAGTTAAAACTTTAAAAATCTGTGTTAAGCTTCCACTTAAATATGAAATTTATGGTGCTGCCAGTTGGAATATTCAAGAGACTAAAAAAAGATGCATTATCAAACTCCACCAATATAGTCAGGACATAAGCAGCTCAACCAAACACAAAGGTGCCCAGAATTGGCCCATTTTAAATGCACACAATGTATAGGGAAATACTCTCCACCGAGGGCGGCTCTGCACTCACTTGACAGGTTTTCTTCAACTTCAGCAATGAAAATTCTTCTCTTTGGGCCAGGTTTTTGCCATTTCTATACTGCACATGGCCAGGGAACAGTGACAACACCAAAACTCTTTTGGGGCACCTCTGGAGCTGGTTCTAACTGCGTGGTTCTAACTTCACAAGGGAATTTCAGCCCTCTTTCAGCATATMCCTGTCCTCAAGGCCTAACTCCTGTACTGTGGTAACCAGTCACGTGCATGGAAAGAGCGGTGAAACGGTGGTGAATTCCATGATTCGGAGCTCCGTGCTACCAAGCTACTGCCTGCCTATGCTATCCTGCCCAATCTTCCACATCGTCAGTTGTCCATGTGGCAAACTTTACTGTAGCTAATTTCCTTCCAGATAAAATTCTGGGGAAAAATGTGCCATCAYAGCCAAACTCTAAATTCACACCACATTTTATGCAGCAGTGTAACTTCATAGCCTTTAAGATGTGCAAAATATCTTATAAAAGCATGGAAAGTGCATATCTATTATTCTTTCCTCTCAGTGAATTTAGAATTATATAAAACTCTTCTTCGACATACATAAATCACATCTTTGAAAAATGATACATATTGCTTACTGTTCTCTAAAGAGGATCACTATGTGATATTTACATCACAGGTAAACTGATTTCTGTGTCTGAAAACATCCACAATATGTTTAAGCTCATTCAGCACCATCCTGTGTAGGGCAGTTTTCGTGTGCATTCTGAAGAATTGGGCTGTTTCTTCTATACACTTGTTTTTACTCAAAGCTACAAAGATCCTTTATAATAATTAGTCTTGAGGCACATCCAACGTCATGAACTTGCTACTGCTCTTCCTTGGTACTTGTATGGCCTAAGGATGCTTGCGTTAGATATAAACAGAAGCATAACCAACTTGCCTTTTTACAGTTTTTACTTTGTTTTTACTTTACTATCAAAGGAGGAGTGCTGTGGTTTTAARAAGGGTTAAAAATGCAGCAATTTTAAGCTGGTTTTCCCAAGTCACTGTTTCTGAAATTTTAAAAAACTTTTAATTTAACMCTATGTAGACACAGTCAAATGAAATGATTCAGATATGGTACCAAATGCCCCTTCATCAAGGGCAGGTCTCTATCTCAAAGAATCACTTCAGCAGCCATTACTCAGCAGTGCATTTTAGATGTTTTACTCCATCTTTCTGAAAGCTTCTGAGTTCTGAATCAGGGCTGTCCTCTTAGCTCATTGCCAGACTATGTCACCATCTCCTTGGAAGCTTCCTTTCTCAGTGCTTCTGAGAAACCCCTGATAGCTCCCAAAATCTGCAAATGGCAGCAACTTCATTAAATATTTCTCTTGTCCTGTGTGTATAAGAAAGTGAGCTTCATTAACAGATTTTTTTCTACCTTATCAGCTGTACAACCATGACGATAAAAATTTGGAACTCAATACAGATGAATCTGAATACAGATACCTGTCAGGATGAATCTTCTTTTCAGAAATGATTTTCACAAACACAAGCCTCCCAGAAAGTTTTTGCAGGTGCAGAGCCCCACATCTGGAGCCACTAATCTTAGCAAATTTTGATCTTCTTCCCAGAGTGAACATGTAATTTGTGCTGAAGTGAAATCAAGCCTCCCTTGAGCATGATTCAACCTTGTTTGGTATAGTGACAGTCTAGAAATAGTCTAGTTGTTAAAAAAGACCAACACAATCAGAAAAGATCTCTTGATCTTTTTTCACAACTTTTTTTTTTTTTTTTTTTTTTTGGTTGGGTCTGTTCAGCTGTCTTAAAAGCTGAGCACCAAGCCAAGAGCTCTGACCTTTCATTAAGCCTTCCCTTCAGGAGGAGGACATTCTATTCTCTATAAGCACTGCAGACATAATTCCACATATAGGTGATGACAAACCTATCAAAGGATAGCCAGAAACTAGACAGAAACAGTAAATTAAGAAGCAGAACTGGTATCAATTAACTTCTTTGGCTGCAAGAAGCACRAGAAAGAA